CACTGGCCCAGGGACTGTCCTGGCCATGGGGGAGTGGAGCTCGGAGTCCCGGGGCACAGGGGACAGCCTGGCACGCACGAGGTACACACCGCTTTTTTACCCCGCTTTGCTTTTGGAGCGAGCTAGGACTCAGAGCTGTACAGGGAAGCATTAACCAGTGACCCTGCTGCCTGGGAGCCGTGGGAAATCTCACCGGGCACCGGGACCCAGGCAGCCAGTGCCCCTTTGCTCACACCAGTTATTTCTCTTTGGTAATACCAGCACCCTTGCTGGGAAAATCCCAGTCCCGCTGATGGCCAGAGGTCACCCCTTGCCCCTCGGCAGCATCTCAGGTTAAGCAGGACAGACTGGGCTCCCTGCACCGCTCCCCTCTGCTGCAGGAGGGTTCGGGCCAGCGCAGACCACCCGGTGCCTCTCCCCAGAACCTGCAGGTGCACACCTCCTCGCTGAGGTGGGCGCATTGCTAGGGCTGGCAGCTGGGCAGGGGCCAGAGCTGGAAGTGTGCTGGGGTAGGAAGGGCAGGCAGCAGGGGGACAGGCTCTGGCACAGGATTGCAGCCCTCGGGAGCAGAACAGGCAGAAATCAGCCCAGTGAAACTGCTCCCACTGCAGGAGAACCCCAGTTTGAGCCTCAGCATCCCCTGTGCTCCTCCACTGCCTTCATCCCTGCCTGAGACAGACACTGGCGGGGCTGAGCCCCGTCCATGGGGACACGGACCCCAAAGGAGCATCTTGTTCCTCGCCAGGAACACCCTCCCCCGGACCCCCAGCCAGGCCTTGGGGAGGACAGCGAAGCTGCTGATGTCATGTCCTTGGCTGCTGGTGTCTTTCTTTTGTCCTTGTAGAAGAGCAATTGTAACCACGGGAGGCTGGTTTAGTTTTGGGATGGTTGGTGCATCTCTGCCGTGTACAGCTGAGACTTAGGTTGGGGGTTTTTTTCCTTTAAAAACAACGAATGTGTGTTTGTAATTTGTAAAGGTTAAAAAAAAGAAAAAAAAAACCAAAACAAAAAAAATGTGCCAAAAATGTACTAAGCATTTCATTTCCCTTCATACATGTCTGTTTTTATAAGAACAATGTGAAAATTGCTGGGATTAAATATTTTTGAACATGATAAAGTACTGCCGTGGGAAACTCTAGCATTCAGTATAACCTCAATTCGAATTGTTCTGTATTTTTAAATGTCTGAAATAAGTTTGCAGAGACCTGGACTGCAGGCAGGCCCGTGCTCTCACTTGCTGCGCAGGCAGAGCGTGGGCACCAGGACGGTCGCACGATGCCTCTGGCTTGGCTCAGATCATGGCTTCCAGATCCTGCCCTGGTGCAACCCCACAGTGTCCCCTTCCTCCTTGGGATGGGATTTCACCCTGGGATTCAGCTGGACACCTTGGCCAAGCCAAGGAGGATGGTTTGGGGGCTTTTGGGGACTTATCCTGACCATATCCTGCTTGCCATGGCCATCCCCCAGCAGTTCCCATGGCACACGTGCTGGCTGGGGCAAGGCAGCTCCCCAAAACCCCAGGGAGCATACGGTGGGGGCAGCAGGGAGGCTGCTTCTCCTGTCCCCATATGGCTCTGCGCTGGCTGCATCCTGTGCTGCTGTGATGCACAGCAGAGGGACAACCTCCATGTGGGGAGATCCTGGAGCTGGGTGGGAAAAAGCCCCCCCAGGAGCCTCTCAGGGCTGAGCTGCTCCGGTGGGGTCTCGTCTCCACCCTGTGCCTCCTCCCAAGCAGCCCTGCCACATCCCTGGGGAGTAGGGAGTGTAAAAAGCATCAGACATGGGAGGGCAGGGTCCTGCTCAGGGGGCACCCCTGGGTGCTGCAGGGTGACCCCAGATTTCCCCAGCTGGCCGGGCACAATGAGGACGCGGAGCCCACCCAGCATCCTGGGAAATGCCCTGCCGGGGTATCCTGGCGTGTCCGGCCCATCCCTGCACCTCCCCGCCACCAAACAATAACATAATGCTGCACTCAGCAAATGTGCTTTTAACAAAGGTTACGACGTGACATAAGATAATAGCTTCATTTAGCTAATGCACGGGGAGGGGAGGGGCAAGGCAGCCAAGGCTCTGATGCAGAGCATTCCCGGGGGAGGAAGCTTGGGTTATTTTTGGACAGAGATTGCAAGAGAATTAAAATGAAGGGGAAAGGGAAAAAAAAAAAAAGAAGAAAAAAAAATCTTGATGCTGCCATTCCTCCTCGGTGACGTAAAGACGGAGCCAATCTCCGGCCTCACGCTTTGTGCCGCGGATCCTCGGTGACGTAAAGCCGGAGCCAATCTCCGGCCTCACGCTTTGTGCCGCGGATTAAGCTTTGTCTGGGTGCAGCAGCCACAGCCATTACCCGAGGAGGCAGCATGCTTGTCCCCCAGCAG